CAATATACTGAACTTAAAACTAAACTCTGATCATACTCTCCCATCTTAAATGTTATAGTGAATATTTTAACTACTTTGGCTTTTACTTTCCAAATTAGACATTTTTATTTTTTATACAGTTAATGTTTTCATTAGATTTATCCACATATTTACTTTCTTCACCCTTCCTTCTTGAATTTCAGGCTTCCTTTGGGATAATTTTCTACCTTTTCTGAAGTACATTCTTTAGAGGTTTTTCTAGTAAGATCTGTTGGTGATAAACTCTCACTTTGCTTTTCTGTAAATATTTTTTGCCTTCATTCTTGAATAAAAGTTTAGCTAGATACATAATTCTGGCTTTACACCTATTTTTTCAATCAGTTGAGATGTTAAGGACTTCTATTTTTTACTCTACTGTTTTACTTTACTGTTCAGCTACTCTACTGACTTCTGGTTTTCATTGTTGCTATTGAGAAACCTGTTATACGTCTATTTGCGATTTTTTAAGTAGATAATATTTTACATCTGATTTTTTAAAAAAATTTTTTGGCCGCACCACATGTGGGATCTTAATTCCCTGACCAGGGATCAAACCTGTGCCCCCTGCAGTGGAAGCACAGAGTCTTAACCACTGGACCTCCAGGGAAGTCTCTATACCTGATTATTTTAAACACTTCTTGTCTTGAGGGTTCTGATGTTCCACCAAGTGTCTTAATGTTGATTTTGTTTATCCTGCTTGCATTCATGTGCTTCCTGAATCTGAGACTCATGTCTTACATCAGTTTTGGAAAATTCTCAGACACTATATTGTCAAACATAGGCCTCTCCCCAATTTTCTCCATTTTATTGTTCTGGAACTCTAAATAGACCTCCTTGTTCTATCTTTCCTATGTCTTAACTTCTCTAATTTCTCTTTTCTATAGTCTACCATTTGTTTTCTATATTAACTTTAGTAATTTCTTTATATCTACCTTCCAGTTCATTATTCTTTCATTTGTGTCTTTTTTTAAACTGTTTTTAAAATGTGCTTTGTGGCCCATTCTTTTGAGTTTTTAATGTGGGATGGCTAGCCATATTTATTTATTTTATATTTTAAAAAAACCAATTAATCTATAATCCAATCACTCAAATATTATCAAAAACCTCTATCTACCTATATGCTCCTCCTCGTTCCATTCCCTGGCCTGCCCTCTCAGAATTACAGTATGTATTTGCGTTTATCATTTCCTTTAGTTGTAGCTATGGCTTAGATTTGCTTGTCCTTGAATTTTCTATAAAGCTTATCATACTATATTAAGTTTATTTCAATGATTATAACTTTCATTTATCGAAGTTATCTTTGGCTCTTTTTAAAATCTGCCACATTATTTTTGATAGTCCCTTGTTTGTTGCACATGTTTTTGTTTACCTAAATGTTTTCAATGTCATTTCATACTATACATTGTAAAGATAAATAAAAATTTTTTTTTCTGTTTATAAAGGAAAAAGAAACCATTTCCGCTCTCTCCCTCCTTCTAAGAGTGTTTCCTAGGAAAATCTAAAGAGCCTAAATTCTCACTCTAACCTTTTGGAATGTAAATAAGTCTCTCTGAAGGCCTGGACTTCAACTGTTTTGAAATGTAAACACCTAGGAAGATACAGCTTCACCTTGGGAGGTTAATGTAGGTGTATCCATTTGTTTCTCAGAAAAATAAAAGTTTTATTTTTCTTTTGGATGAGGACAACTAATTAAACAAATGGCTACCACAAATCCCAAGTGAACTTAGGGTGAAGGAATGTGAAAAAATAAAAACTTAACTAAGAAGGATCTGGCCACAAACTATGATGTCAAATCCTCCTATGGAAAACAAGTTACTATTAATCCAAATAATAAGTGATAGTTGTGCTGCCAAATGGAAAATAGGGTACTACTGATCCCAAAGCCTCATGTTATATGCTAGCTAAAAATAGCATGAGAGAAAAGGATTATAATTAGCTTAGCTGTATAAATTGTGTGAGGTCTTATTCTGATTTGGTAGTTTCTTGTGGATTACCTATATACAGCTATTTTATAATGTGCTTATTCAACAATAAATGTGTTTGCTTTCTTTCCACAGTGATGTGAAGAGGTCTCTCTTTGTTGATAAGGTTTTTACTTCCCCAACGATATCTAATAATTCCAACACCTATGGACTGTAATTTTTCTCTTTGTTGTTTCTCATCATCATCTCATGCTTGGCATTTCTTAAGAGTGTGGGAATTCAAGGGGCCTGGGTTGAGACATTCCTCTGGAAATTTGAGTTTGTTTTTGCCAGACACCAGAATACACTGCCCATACACAACTACTTTGCTCATTTTTCTGCTAGAGGTTCCTTAGACCATGCAGGTGTAATAAAATCAAACCCTAAACCTGCATGAGGGCAGACCTGTGGTTATGAATTATCAGGGGATACTTTTTCCTCCCACCCAGTACCTAAGGCCAAGCCAGACAAGCCTAACTTGGTTCTTCCCTTTGCCAGTAAGCAGACTATATTTTATCCTTTAGATTCAAGTGTTCCAGCGTTATGCAGGGTTCTCAGCCAACCCTCCCCTCCCCTCTCCCACACTCCTCCCTTGTATAAGCTTTACTTCTATTCCACAGAGCTGCTCTTAAAACCTAAGGCTCTTTCACTTCAGCAAACGTCCATAAGGTGGCTCTAGAAATCAGCTTATGCTTATCACAGTTTTCAGTTCTTATTCCCTGCCTCACCCCTGCCCCCAACCAGATTCCCTCACTTTCTTGCAACCTCATTATATTTTGATTTGAGGGGGGTGGTATTTTACTCGATGTTTTTCATCACGAAGGTTTTTAAAAATATGTCACCCATTGTGTTGCTGGAAGGAGAAATCTAAGGCATTTGTTTTATAATGGTTATACCTCTTACCAGCCACTACTCTAGGAAAAGATGGAGGTAGAGAGAACAGATATATGAATATGAAACAGAGCAACTTGCAGAATATTACTGTTCTCCTCAACTAATTCTCTCAGGTATCTTGAATACACTGTAAGCACTATGAATCTCTTTAGAACCTGAATACACGATATTAAGCACAAATTTTATGGTATCTGCTTTACTACAGGAATGTGCCAAGTTTTCATTTTTGCTCTTGTTCTCTTTCTCATTTCCCCATTACTTTCAATAACAAGACTCTTAATCCACAATTTCCTTAGTTAAAAGTATTAAGAACTTCTGGTTTTCTATTCTCCCCCTCATAGGAATAAACTTGAAATGTCAATCAATTCACTAGGCCAGTTGATTTATTGCTACTTATACATGACCTGCAGCACCAGCATTATGCTGTTACTCCCCATCAGTCCATTGAACAAAGACTAGTAACTTCTGATACCACAAACACAGAAGATTTTAATAGGACAATTACTTATTTAAGGACCAAGTATTCCTTTAAGGGATATGGGTGGCAATATCAGGACTTGGCTTCAGAAGTATAGGCTGAATTTGCAAAGTGTTGCTAAGCTTGGTCTTTCAAAAACTTGGGTACCTAGCCAAATGAGCCTACTTCAGTAGTACACTTAAACACTATCTTGGTCCCCTCTAAAAGGCACAAAATGTCTTGAATATTCAAGTTGTGATTTCTGCTGTTTTATAGCACACTTCTGTGGCAGCAGTGTGTGAGATTAGAGAGAGGGAAATGGGAAATCGGGACACAGTTAGAAAACAATAAAAATAATCTAGTCATATGGGGAAATAAATGGTTTGGAGCAAAAATTATAGGAACTGTGGTTTAAGTGCTATCTGAGGCAATCTAGGTTAACCTCCTGGTATCTATTGCTTAATCTGGAGGCGAGAGGAAGATGGTAGAATGTTAGCTCCACCAGAGAAGTCCCCACTGATTTGCTCCGTTTCTAGACAGTGCCTGGCACATAATATGCATTCAATAAACACTTGACTGAATGAATACGGCAGCATTAGACAGAATATGGGAAAGGAGGAAAAATGCATTCGAACTCGGGGGCTTAATTTGAGGGGGAAGGGAGTCGAGAAATTTCCCACTGACAAAACGGAGCATGTCAGGAAGGGGAGCTAGTTCTGGAGGAAAAGTATGATTACTGGAAGTTGTAGTGATCAAAACTGCATTTCTAATATTAGAATTAGAATTTCTAATAATTTCTAATATTAGTTACCCAATAAGGGGTTATTTATCTAAAGGCTAACCACATTAGCTTACTTGAACATGACCTTCGCCTAGGTTAGCTGGGATGCAAATTCTCTCTAGATTTCTAAGAATTCTCTAACCACGTAAAAATGTTTCTTCCTGGAGGCTGTTCGCACACACTCCTCCCTCTTTCTGCACACAAACGCGAGAAGCAGGTGTTGGCAGAAAAGAAGCCGGCAGCTGAAGGACCAGAGCTATAATCCAGTCTCTGCCTCAACTGCCGCACCTGCCCCAGTCTTCTGGGCTCCACCAAGGGGAGATTTGGAAGAAGATGACTTAAAGTCACAGGGTTGGAAGCAAAACCAGAACAAGGTCAGGAGCTCGTGTCCAACTCTTTAACTCCTGGTTCCGGCTTATTTCTCTGGCGCCAGCCGCGGAAATACGACCGAGTCTGGGTAAAGGTCGCCAGGTGAAGGGATGATAGCCAGGAGACCTCTACGTTTGTCAAAGTTGACCGTCTCCCTCTAAGCAGGCAAAACGTGCGGCTCAAACAGCATTACGTCAACCAGCAGGAGACCCGTTACCTTACAGGCTAATGCCCTCGACTCCGCTCCACCCTCCCCGTCGGCACGCGCATGCACCCTAAGGCCCGAGGTTGACGTCAGCCCCTCCCGGCACAACCTCGGTGTCGTACCTCTAACGGCCTGTCGTAACTGCCCGGAGGGAAAGGCCGGGAGAGGAAGGGCATTCATGCTGTGCCCCTCACAGTACTAGCAGGTATGCGCGTGCGCAGGGTCCTAACTCAGTCCCGGAGACCCGAGCCAATGGGGCGCGGCGACGTCACTACGTATCAGTTCGCCGGGCCGCACGTCAGGAAGGCAGAGGGCGGAGCCAGTTTGGTTGCGTTTTTACCCGTACTTAGGCGCGGACCGGCGTGTCCTTGGGATTAGAGAGCGTCGGGACGTTTGGCTTTTGAGCGGGAACGGCCTAGTCGTACACGGAGAAAGAACGGTGGGCGCTGGGCGCGGAGGCCACGGCGGGCGAGCAACCGAGCCGTGGGGGCCGCGCGGGTGGACTGAGGCCCGTGAGCGGGGGCCGGGTGGGGGACAGGGAGTGGGGGGCCCCGGACTGCGCCCATCGCGGCGGGCTACGGCGTGAGGTGGGGCGGGACCCTAATTAGGTCGTGGCGTGGTCTCGGTCAAGGTCCTGAAAGCTCGGAGGCGGCTTGTTCGCGGTTCCTTCCGAGACGCGGGCCCTCCGTTGTCGGGACTGCGGGGCTATGGCAATGATAGACAAGATTTCCTCCGGAGTGAGGGCGGGAGTCGGGGAACGGTGCGCAGCGCGTCACGTCCTCTTTCCAAGAGAGCAAAAGCTGCTGCTCTTCCAATAAGTCATTACTTTTCCTGGCCACCTGTCGCTCCCCCCCCACTTAACCTGCTTAGGCATCTCAGAGAGGTAGGTTTCATCACAGTGCCCTGGAAACCGGCTTGGATGGATGACCTCGTGGTCTCCCCCGGGGATCCCAGAGCTGG